ACTTTTTTCGCACAAGTAAAAAGTCAGGCGACGTATTTTAATTTTAATCATGATTCAAGGATTTGATTCAATTGCGTGCACAATCAAAATTTGGATAAACGACAAGTCAAGTCAAGTCAAGTCAAGTCGAGTTGAGTTGAGTCGAGTCGACCCGAGTCGAGCTCAGCCCTTAGCCAGCTGGGAGCGGTATTCGTATACGTTATTTTCTTCTTAGCAGTTCTGCGTGTGTGTGTGTGGGGGTGTGAGGTATGTGGGACCGGGGGGTATACTCTATTACTCTATCATTATCTAATAGCTGCGCAAAACGAATTCAACTGCGAGTTGTTGAACTGTGCCTTCAACTACGAGTGAAGGCCTCCCGGCTCGACACTTTATCGCGCGTATCGTGCATAAACTCGCCAAGTCGTCGATTTGTACATATGTATGCATACATACATATATATATCTACATGTGTATATCAAGTCAAGAGAGCTACAGCTACACACATATACTTAAATATGTGAATGTGTTTACGTTTGTCTGTGCTTAAATCAAGTAAACGTGTCAATCACAAAACGTCTTAGAAGTGTCAACAGCGCAACCAGCGAGAGAATCACACAAGAAACAATAAAACGATAATAATATGTTAGCTTGTAATAATAATAATAATAATACGAATCAGCGACAACAACGACAACAGCGGCAGCAATAACAACAACAACGATAATCAGTTAGATAAACATCTTGGATAGATAGTCACGAAGCGGGAATGCCCTTAGAATTGAGCAATGATAACATAAGTAAAGAAGACTGCGAGGGAAATGGGATGAGAGAAAAAGAGAGGACAGTAAAAAATGAAGGCAGGCAATAAATAAAGACAGAGAGAGCGAAAGAGAGAGAGACCTAAGGAGAGAGAAAGAAAAAGAGAGAGAAGGAGAGAGAGATGGATGAATAGATAGAGGGAATGGGGAAGAAAAAGTGAATGCCAGGGAGAAATGGAGAAAGGAGAGTAAAAAATGTAGAGAAAAGAGAGAGAGAGAGAGAGCGATAATGACAGATACAGCGAGAGAAAGATAAATCCAGAGTAGCAAGAATATATAGAAATATTCAAATATCAAAATGAGAAGCGACGAGACGAGAGATAGAGAGAGAAAGCTATAGCTTATAAAGAGAAACGGAAACGGAAAACAAAAATCAAGTTCTCTATAAGATAGCAATAGGCGGTAAAAGTGAGTGAGAATGAACAGATGGGATTAACTATACAAATTAATATACATATGAGTTTACCAATTATTTTTCGGATTTAAGCGTGAATTTAATATTTTCGTAAGTGTATCTTTCTTAAAATCTTAAAATTTTTATAACCACACGAAACGCATTTTTAGATCACATTAAGGACAATTAAAAATTTTCTGAAAATCTATAACTTCCACAACATTATGCAATTTCTTCTGAAATTGTAAGTTGAGATCCCAACTCAAGAATGAATGAATTCAAGTTTTATAATAAATCTTGTGCTTTCACTGAACTACCCAAATACAATTCAAGGGTGCTAGTATTCAGTATGCATTATCTACATATCTATATATATTCATATAATTATACTTTGTTTTTTCAATTATAAGAATAATAGTCACTAGTATGCTATTTACGCGCAAGCGAATCGTAATTGAAGAATTTAATCGTCATATTTGCCAATGACAGCTGCTGAGTTCATTTTAGATGGGACGCCACTCCATCTATATACATATATTTACATTGAAAATGGTTACTCAAAAGGTGTAGTATACCAGAGTTAACAAAGGCGGAAAAAACTGTATATTCCTACACGAAGAGATAATGTACTGAAACGATACAGATATATCCGTCCGTCCGTCCCTCTGTCCGCTCGTTCTGCTGTCTGTACTTTCGTCTGTTTATTCGATCCATCAGTCTATTAGTTAGCCTTTCTTACAGTCAGTCTGAGCATTTGGCAGATGAGTTGGGAGAATCTACATCCGATTGTCTGTCCGCCCGTCGATCTATATATCCGTTTGTCTTTACGTCTAGCTGTTCATCTGTTTGTTCGTCTGTTTATCCATCATTTCATTATGCCATCATTCGACATTCCATCCATTCGTTTAGTGCTCATTCAATATCATATTCCGTTTTCCTTTCAGGCTGGGTATTTGCTACTCGTGCACATCTAACTGGAGGCACTCTTAATTGATTTTTTTGCTGTCTGTTTCTTTTTGGAAATTTTTTTTTGCTCTGGGGGCCGATGCTGACAGAAACGAGTAAGAAGAACTACTATTTGGTGTCTGAGTGTACTCACGAATACTTTTTGAATACTTTTGGCGCTTGGCACGTGGGTGGCCGGCAAATGCGGAAGCGGCACTTGAGATGCTACACAAATGACAGACAGAAAGACAGACAGAGACAGAGGCAGAGGCAGTGGATCACCCTCTGCCCCTGTCTGCCTCTGGGTAAGCGTGAGAGATACTGTATATCTGTTAACTTATAGTTCTATATGTACATATCTTGTATCTCATAAGCATATTCGCAACGCTTTTAATGTTGATTATCATCATCAAGTGGGTGTTTCTACATGAATGAAAATATTTAAATGGCAGCGCAAAAGGCGCACTAAATCTCAGCATTCGCATCTGTATCTATGTATCTGTGAGATACACAGATGTCTATCTATATATGTATCTGTACATTTATATATCTGTATCTTTGTTGCTTTGTCGCTGTATGCGAGCAATCGAATCAAGAGACAAACTGGGTAATTGGTTCATTATATTGTAGAAGCCAACGACATCCGCTCGTTAATGTAAATTACACAATAATTTAATATTATTATTTTTGTCGATTTTATTGTTTTTTTTTTTTTTTTTTTTTTTTTTTCTTTTCTTTTTTTGGCTTCATTGCCAATTTGCTGTCTTTACATATGCAAATGATAAACATCGCACAACATTGGGCTCATTTTTCGCCATCCAAAAGAGAACAAAATTTGCCAACTTAGAGTTTGGTTAACTTTTTAAGTTTTTCTTTTGAGAATTGCACTTTCCAACACCGTTTCCAACGCCGTTTTATTTCATACTAGTTTAAGTTGTTACATGAACTCAACTTAATTACCTATTATTATTTCGAGCACAAAAAAAAAAAAAAAAAAAGGAAAACTCATTTAAGTTAAAGCACTTCGAATTCCACAAATAATACGTTGTTTTTTTTGTAGGATGAGTTACAACTAGGAATATATGATTAACTATATTAGTTATCACTTGCAGTTGTTTATTCACAATAGCGATGGCTCGATTTGCAACGCCCATAGTGGGCGGATCGGGAAAATCTTGACATGTTATAAATATATTTAAATATTTTATTGTTTGTATTAAGAGTTCCTACATTTATCTTAAATTTAGATTATAGGTAAGTTAAATTTACATCACTCCAAATTTTATGTACAATCACAAGAGTTAAAGATAATTATTATTTAGGAATTTCCATGATGAGCATGAGATTAGCCATGATCTGATCTCTACTCTATAGTTAAAATATCGAACTATGCGAGTATTTACTGTATTCTAAATTTAATATTAGAAATAAAAATAAAAACAAAAACAAAACAACAATTCGTAGCTTCTATGCAAAAAATAAAAATCCAATTTCGAGAAGAAAAAAAAATTAAGAATGAAATTGAAGAGAATAAATAAATTAAACGAATTCTTGTCGCATGCTCTTAAGAACACAGCGAGCAGATAAAGAGCGATGCAGAGCGAAAGAGAGAGAAAGAGCGAGAGAGGGAGCGGGAGAGTGAGAGAGCTGCTGATAATGCGAGCGGCAACAACAAAATGTGAAATACAATGGGAATTATCAGTGGACGGCGTGATATGATTATCAAAAGGTTTCTTCTCTTCGGATTGTTGTTGTTGCTGTAGCCGCTGGCAACGGCATTTCTCAATACACATGCTACATATGTAAAGCAGTTTATTTGCCTCACACACACATACACGAAGACACATACATACATACGTATAAATATATAACATATAATAAATATACTCTACATATGTATGTATGTATGTACAAATTATTTTCGACGTGCTTTGATAGTCCAGTAGAATAAATAAATGCAAAAAAAAAATAAAATAAACAAATATTATATAAAAATAAAAAAGAAAAACAAATATGAATACAAAATAAATAAACATTGTTCTAAATGTTGCTAAGGAAAATGTCACGTTTTAATACAGTTCACACTATGAAAAGCTTGAAGCACCACAACGTAGGTAGGTGACAAAGATGAACTAGCAAATACCCTGTAAAATGTTTAAAATGCAAATATAATCAGCTACAAAACTTGCAAAATTTAAGTGAACTTAGTTTTTAACAGGTAAATAACTCAATGAAACAGTATAAATAAAATAAATAATATTTAAAATATACATATAAGATAAATTATAAGTACATACACGCTTTACTAATATTTATTAATAATGTTCTTTTTCTACAGGGTATTTTTAAGTAAGAGTGAAACCAATGAACAGAAAAAAAAAGGACTATAACTGTAACTATTAAAATATTACTGTTGTAAATATTACAGTTGTAGGTATAAACGTATGTATGCGCATGTGTGCATATGCACATGCATGTGTGTGCTTTAGCACAGTCACAATATTAGCTAGCTTAAAACTAAGCTAAACTAATTGCTTGAAGAGCAACAAAACAAAAATATTAGTCAGGGCAATTGAGCTCGCTCGTTGGCTAACTGCATTCACAATTTGCAGATGCAACAAGCTGGCAGCAAACCAAATAGACGGAACAGTAATAAAACCATGAAGGAAAGAAGGAAAACAAAACAAAACAAAAACACTTTCATTGATAAAACAAAAAATAAAAATAAAAAAAAAACTAAACAGCAGCAGCGTATAAAGATCAACGGCTGCTGCTGCTGCTATTGCACTTTGTCTTGCGGCTTTCGTTTTACACTCTCCCTCTCGCACACACACACGCACACACTTGTGCATATACTTACATTTGTTTGTCCAAAGTAGCTGGCAACAACAACAACTCTGGCATCAATCAGCCGCAAAGCCTCGTCGTCGACAATTGAGACTAACCAACATTAAACTGTAACTTCCTCACACGCACGTACACACATACACACACATTGACAGAGACACATTCGCACACATGCAAACACTTTTTTTTATATATAAATATATATATATATATATTTTATTTTTTATTTTTACATGACGTGTTGTAAATTTTTGCACTAATTTAGTTGGCTTTTGGTGAACAGGTTCACACAACAAAAAAAAAAAAAAAAAAAAAAAAATAAACAAAAATCAAATTATTTACGAGAAAAGGATATTTGTAACTGTAAACACATTGGAATTGAGTTGCGCGCGCGCATTTTAAGTCGCATCAGCACCAACAGCAACAACAACAACAACAGGCGGCAACATATATTGAATTAAACAAAAACATATATGAATGTATATATACATATATTTTAAGTAAATAAAGAGCGCACAAATTAAATTTAATAAAATACACGTAGACACACAGACAGAGCCATGTATATGCATATGTACATAAGGCGCTGTCTTTTGTTGTTATTATTATTATTATTACTATAGTTGCTGTTGCTGTTGTTGTTGCTAGTGTCGCTACTGCGGCGACTACTACTTCGCCGATCGCACACCGCATGAGACGCACGAAGTGCACGACGAACGATCTGACACGCACGAAATGCAAAAACGCACTGAAAATGATATTTAAAAGAGAGTAGCGACATATTATTATTTACGAATGCTCCACGCAGATATGGTCAGATATGTCAGGCGAATTCCATTGGAAATGCTTAATGCGCCTTTTGCTGCAGTCATATAATGGCGTGTTTTCCATATTAAATCCAATTGTATAGTTGAATAACAAATTGTAAAGGCAAAAACCAAACCGTATGAAATCAATTCAAATTATAATCAAAATAACGCAAATACTCTAATTGGCACTGTTGTGCTCAATGGGAGCTGTTAAAAGTGTTGTACCAGCATGATACTTGATCGTTTCGTATGTTATCAAAGATCACAGTTCAAGTACAAGTGCTTTATACCGGCGTGATACTTCATGTTTTATTTATTGCGCCACTGTTAATAACAGCGAACGTGGATGCGTTGACATACCAGAATGTTAAACGCGTTGCCGTTAATTTCTATTAGCTTTGATCTTTATTTTTAATGCGAGTTAGCTAAGAAGCTTGAATTTAGAGGATCTAATACCTTTGGTTCCACTGTCTTATAGTAAAATGAACAGCCGCTTGCAAGTGTCGCTCAAAAAGCCCAACAGGCTGCAATTAATACCGTCGTTTTTTTAAGCTGACTCCTTTTAAACTTACCGCGCTGTTGGCAAAAATAGATTCAGTTCAATGGTTCAATCTGCTATCTGTAAAGTAGCTCAATTTGCAGTTATGTTAATATGAACAGCTGCACAAAACAATTTATTTTTACAACGATTTATGTAATAAAATTAAATATTATTGATTATTTTAGTATCAATTAATTTAATACTCAAAACATATATTTTCTAATGGGTATTAAACAGTATTAACCTTTTTTTTATTTATACATATATTACAGAAAAAACAGTTACTCGCTTATGGGTTTACTGATTCCGTTTTACAAATGAACTACAGAATATTTTGCCGTTAGATTAATAGGAAAAAGGAAAATTGAGCTTTTGTTATTTATTCCGCAACCTTTCTAAAACTATAAAGTTAACTGTTTGCTAATCAATTACATTTCGTTTTCCCTTTAGTGGCCAGTAACAGAGACTATGAGCATTTTGTTTACATGCCAAACACACGACAAAAAAAAAAATATTAAAAGAAAACAAGTCCTGGCTTAATCCTTAAACTTGCCCAGTATAATGTCCTTGTAGAAGGGCACACAGTTCATGCGGACATTGAGACGAGCGCAGAGCAAAAAGATGCCCGACAGCTTGCGATGGATCGAGTAGATCTCCTCCGGCGGCGGGCAGAGGCGATGCGCCACCATCGTTGGCACCAGAGCGGCCAATCTCTCCGTCGTGTTCTGCTTGCCGAAGTCAAAGTCGCCGTCGTAGCGAAAGATCTCGCCGAGGATCATCACCGCATCGACATGCGCCTGCTCCATTTGCTTCGTCTCGTAGCCGGTGAGAAAACCCATCTTGCGCGACATCTCGAGGACGCCGCTGCGATTGTTCTGCGCCGCACTGATGATCACCTGGCGATAGTTCCGGATGAACTCGTGTTTGTAGAAGCGCGTCGAACCAAAGTCGATCAGCATCAAGCGTCGACTGTTCACATCGTACAGGAAATTCGACCAGTTCGGATCCGTTTGCATGCATTCGATCTCGAAAAGCTCGCGCAGGCAGAGCTTTAGTACCGAGGCGGCGATGTGAGCGCGATGATCATAGCTGGATAGAGGATTAATAGAGAAAACGAGAGTTTAAATAGAGTTTTGAGAGAGAAAAGTGAACTTAAATTGGGTTGAAGGAGCAAAGAGTAAAGCTAAACCGGACTAAAAATGCAAATTATTAAGGTCAAATATGGGTTAGGAAGAAAAAGTGAGGTTAAATTAGAATGAGATATTAATAGACTCAAAAAATAGGCAGGGATTACGAAAATTAGGGCTAACGAACAATAAAGTGAGGTTAAACAGAATTAAGATTAAGAATGAATAATTAAAGTGGGTTTCGGGACAAACAGGTTGGTTAAATAGTCACGAGGGCGAAACCTTAAAAGTTGGCAAAAGACAAAAGTAAGCCCAAATGCATTTACAGGATAAGGTGAATACCAGTTCCGCGATAATAATTCTTTTATCTGGAACTAGTGGAAAATAACATATGAACCAGTTCAAAAAATTGTGTCGCATAGCGAATCATGTAGGTAACAAAAATATTGAACTGAGAACTAGATGCATAGCAGTTCGCGGAGAGCCGGTTGAAAACTGTAAATGTAAAATGAACCAGCTACATGTGCATCTGTCTTTGTCTAATCAATGACATCAGCTTAAAGGAATTGAATTGAACAGCGAATAATATTGACGTAATGGATATTGAGACTTTACTGGAGTCAGTGAGGTACATGAACTTTCAAATGAACCATTGCAATATTTAGACTCAAAAGTAAACCAGTGGAGAAGTAGAGCTTATCTTGTCTGATCAATTGCATTGCCTAAGGTATATGAATACAGTTGAAATACATTATTATTCACTCGGAACTAGCTAACAATAAGCCAGTCCGTGTCTAATCAATGGCAGGAATGGATAGACAGGAGATTTTCGTTCGGAACTAGTAAATAATGAACCAGTTGTTTGCCTACTTAATAGTATTATCTGAGAGAAATGCATAACTACGACTGTCTCTCCAAAATTACACTTTTGGAACTAGTGAACTACTGGTTCACGACTGCAACTCAAGAGAGATTAGTATTTACTAATAATAGATCCGCCTCTAATCCAGCACTCACCTGAGCTCAAAGCACTTGTCGAGTGGCACTCCCGGAACCAGTTCCGTGGTGAGCACACTGGCGGTGGTCAGTTCACGCACCACCTTGGGCACATAATACTCCTTGTAGGGCGATATCATCTGGCGGAACTTCTCCGTATATTCCGCCTCGCGTGCATAGTCCACCTCCCATTGGAGCTCGCGCTTGGCCACACGCACCACATTGTCGATGAAGAAGCCCTGGGGGAAGACGTCCCAGACCTTGAGCATGCCAACGAGATTGTCGATGTCGCTCTCGATGCTCTGGGCAACGCCGGGATATTGGATTTTGATGGCCACCTCCATGCCGTCCAGCAGCGTGGCCCGATGCACCTGCCCGATGGAAGCTGCCGCGAACGGCTTGTCGTCGAAGGTGCGCAAACGCTTCCGCCAGTCGGGCCCCAGTTGGGTGGTCATCACGCGCTCCACCTGCCAGTCGGGCATATAGTCGGCCGCCTGCCGGACACGCTCGAACGCCTTGGCCAGCTGCGGCGAGACCACGTTCGTGTCCTGTATGCTGAGGATTTGGCCGATCTTCAGTGCTGCACCGCGCACCTTGCACAGCGTGTCCACAATTCTCTCCGCGTTCGCCGGACTGAGCAGGGCGTCGCGCATGTTCGTCGATCCGCCCAGGCCGAGGGCGCCCTTGGTCAGCTCATTGATGGTGCCCAGGCCCAAGCCGGCGAACAGGCCGCCAAACGAGGCCATCCGTCCCAGGCGCGACGCCGGCACCCGCCTCTGCTTGGCCACCTTGCTCAGCTCCGGCAGCGTCGATTCCTTGGCCGGCGGAGCAGCTGCAGCAGCTAGAAATGTGCAACATGTCAGATGTAAAGCATGTCGCGAAAGAAATGGAAATTTCGCTCGAATCGATTTCATTTTGAGTGGAAAAACAAATGGAACTGACAGTCAAACTAGTCGAAAATCTGAAAGCTAGGCCAGGCTAGAGTTGTAAGTGTGCACAATTTCGTATCGAGTCGATAACATATGAAATTGAAATGCGAACTATGGGAATTGAGGTATGAAATTGGGGTGGAAATGAAAGTGAAACACGTGGAATGTGAAACATAATAACTGCAGTCCATAAGAATTGCAACTGAAGTGTGACACATTTGAAATTGAAACACGAAAAACAAACTTAGTCACAGAAACGATTGGAAAGTGATTGCATACAGCGAGTTTTAAGGGAAACATGTGGAATCGGAACACAAGCAATGCATATGAAGCAGTATAAATGAAATGTGAGCAGAGGCAATGCATATGAAGGCTAACTCAAAATAGAATTGGAATTAGGGCAGTGCTGATTCGCATTAAATTTAGATTCGCTCAGCATGCAACGAAATGGAATTGGAGAAATGAAATTTTCATAAAAATTAGTCTCTAGGAGTGAGAGTGAGATTTTAGGGGAACAAATGGAAATGGCACACCGGCTATGCATATGAGCATTCACTCCAAATGAGTTTCTCGCTTGTAAGTCAGATTTTAGGGAAGCAAATGAAATTGGAACGCCGGATGCAGATTCACTCAAAATGGAATTGAAACAAAGGAAATATGGAAACCGTTCCGCATGCCTACCCTTATTTCCAGGTGTTTCGGCCGCAGAAACCGTCGAGCTGCCGGCCACAAATCGCATCAGATTGTCCACATATTCGGTGTCCTTGGCCAAGATGCCGTCGCCGCCAACGGGCTCAGGTGGGATAGGTGTTGCCTTGTGCTGGGCTGCCTTCGGATCGGGTGTGGGCAGCTGCTTGGTCTGCGTGTTGGGCGTGCGCAGGCTGACGTTGCGGTTCATGTTGCGCTTGGAGAGGATCTCCTCGAATTCGAGCAGCGTTATGGACGAGATATCCACGGTGGATGCGTCGGCACCATCCAGGTGGCTGCGGCTCGACCGCTGGCCCTGACCGCCGGCCGTGCTGCCAGCTGTCGCCTCACCAGCTGCACCGCTGCCCGAGCCACTCGGCTGCCAATTGAGGCGCTGTAACGTGCTTAGGTCGCACGGCAATTTGGTCTCCAGCAGCTGGCACAGGCCGTGAGCGACAACGTAGCCTCGTTCGCCGGTCTCCTGGATCAGTTCTTGAGCCTTGCGCAGTCGGTCGCTCGGATGTTCGCTGGCCTCACGCAACGCGTCCACCGTCTGACTCACGTTCACTGAGATCAGTTCGCGCACACTCGAGTTGCTCCACAGATGCTTAGTCAGCGACAGATGCTCGCGTCCGCACGCCTCCGCAACTATTTGCAGACCGCGCAGTACGCCCAGCACGTCTTGCGCCGACCGTGTCATCTCGTTTGACCACTTCACAAACGAGTGGGCGATCGATTGTTGCTGTTGTTGTCGCTTTTGTTGTTTGTTTTGTTTATTCGCTCTTGTTGCCGGTCGTTGATGGCGCTGGCGTCGGGCTTCTGCAACTTGTGGTGCTCTACGGCATCTGTGTGCGTTGGCACGGACGAAAGTTGTGTCTAAAATGGAAAAACGTCGTATGTAATTCAGTTACGTAAACGTAAATAAATAAACTTGCACGATTGTTGCGAAATTCAAAATCAGCTGTTGGCCAAATATGTTTAACTCGTTCAATTGCACATGGGTCATGGCAGTGTTGGCAAAAGCGTAAAAGTTTTAACAGTTCTGTTAATGCATGTACAGTTTGATAAGCTTAATTTTAATTAGAAGGCTTTTTCATAATTTCTTATATAATTTATAGCAATAAAAAAAAAAACTCGAAAATTTAAATAAATAACATGCTTATTTTAGTTATGAAAATGTTTGTAAATTATGGTTGCCAAATTTTGAAATCAGCTGTTGCCCAAAAAAGTTCACAGAAGCTCACAAGAGAACTGTTTCATTGCAGTGCTGGCAAAAGCTAACAGAATTCTGTTCTGTAAACACTAACGGCTGATTAAATATTTTATTTTCTTTTATTCCGATTCTTATTGGCTATATGCGCTACTTCTAATATTTTTAATAATTTACAAAATTATATTCATGCAGGCTGTAAATTAAATGATTAACAAGACTTTTAAATTTATTTTGTACTCAAAATGGTGCTGTTAAGCACAAATCACTCAATTGAGCTGGTTCGCAAGCACATGCTAATTACAATGTTTACAATTTGAATTGAAATGTGCGGCATTTTTTGTGCAATTGGGCAAAATAATGACGTTAGTTGCCATTTACATAGCGCTTTGGAAGAGCTACTACACAATCGTGGGCCGGACGTCCAGGATAAACTCATAGTTGACAATGTGCTGCTGGCCGGCAACGTGCTATGGCAACAAGGCGCTGCGCCGCAAAAGCAGCCGCTAGTCGAGAACGATTTGGTGTTGCTTTTCAATGGCGATCTCTACAATTTGGATGAAAAGAAACTGGAGAGCGAGGCGGACAGCGCCTGGCTGATAAAAGAGCTGAACAAATGCAACATGAACGAGGATGAGCAGCTGCTGGCGCTGCTGCGGCAGCTGGAAGGACCATACTGCCTGATACTGTACAACAGGTGAGTATGACACTATAACATACCCTGTACAGGGCTATAATAATAAAGCTATACTGGCAGACGTGAGAAGGCGCTATACTTTTGCCGCGATGCCCTGGGCCGCAATTCGCTCATCATTGAACGCCACCCGAACAATTGCCTGAAACTGATGAGCACCTCGTGCCCCGTGCTGGAGCACATGGCCACAGCTGCACTGGAGCTGCCACCGCTCGGTCTGTACAAGCTGCGATTGGCGCAGCTCAACGAGTGTTGCCTGTATCCCTGGCAACCGCTGAACGAGCAGACGCAGCAACAGCTCTCCACCTTGGAGACGGCCATGGAGTGGAGCATGCGGCTGGGGCAGACCATTGCGCCGTCTTGGCTGCTGGACAAGTCGCTGCAGGTGAGCAGCTATGATCTGTATACGTTAGCAGCGGGTGACATCCCCTTGGAGCTGCTCCACGAGCGACTGCTGGGAAATGAAGCCGTGCAGCAGGCGTTGAGCAAACTGGACGAGCTGCTCCAACGGTCGGTGGCTGCGCGCGTGCTGCACACGGCACCCGTTTGCCGACTGTGTAGCGGCAGTGGCAGTGGCAGGTGCCTGCATGCCAAGATCTGCATCCTTTTCTCGGGCGGCATAGACTGCAGCATTCTAGCCGTACTCGCCGACAGATATGTGCCCCCCTCGGAGCCCATCGAGCTCATCAATGTGGCGTTCGAGCGCGTGGCCGGCGCTGCGGATCAGAGCTGGAGCGTGCCGGATCGCCAAACATCGCTGCAATCGCTGCTCGAGCTGCAGCGCCTCTGCCCGCAGCGCAGCTGGCAGCTGCTGCAGGTGAACGTCAGTCGAGAGCAGCTGCAGCAACAGCTCGCGGCGCACATCCGCCAGCTCATCTATCCGCTGCGAACGGTGCTGGACGAGTCCCTGGGCAGCGCCTTTTGGTTTGCTGCCGCCGCAGCCGACTCGACCGCGCGCGTAGCGCTCCTGGGCAGCGGCGCCGACGAGCTCTTTGGAGGCTACACGAGGCATCGCAATGCCTGGCGTCGCGCTGGGCCCAGCGCCGCGGCGCGAGAGCTGGCGCTGCGCCAGGAACTGGAGATGGACTGGCAGCGCATACCCGCACGCAATCTGGCGCGTGACGATCGTATCATCGCCGACTGCGGCAAGACGGCGCGAGCGCCCTTCATCGAGGAGCATCTGGCGCAGTTCGTGCGCTCGCTGGCGCCGCAGCAGCGCTGCTGTTACGCCCTGCCCGAGGGCGTCGGCGATAAGCTGCTGCTGCGCCTCTATGGCCACCGCCTGGGACTGCGCGATGCGACGCTGCTGAAGAAGCGCGCCATCCAGTTCGGATCCCGCATCGCCGACAAGAAGCAGCAAGCGACGCAGATTTCCGAATATCTACGATTCGACTCACTCCAGCCGAATGGAGTACAGTGAACTCTCGCTACAGCCGAAAAGATGACATTTTGTGAACACTGTATAACAGTTTGCACTCATCTAGTTATAGCTGAGATCTAACAAATTGTATAATTGATCTGGTCTACAAGTTGTATAACAGTTTGCACTCATCTAGTTATAGCTGAGATATAACAAATTGTATAATTGATCTGGCCTACAAGTTGTATAACAGTTTGCACTCATCTAGTTATAGCTGAGATCAAACAAATTGTATAATTGATCTGGTCTACAAGTTGTATAACAGTTTGTGCAAAATTTAAACTATGGAGTCTATATGAAATTGTATAACAAATTGAGAATAACTTCTGTACAATTAGCTGTGGTATACATGTATTTATAGACTGTGTATAAATATTGTATAACTGTAAGTTGGAAAAAACTGTTTTATAAGCTTGTATAGCACTAAGAAAAAAACTGGTATATAAACATTAAGTTAAATTATAGCTGTAACATAGTTGTAGTATGACAGTTATGACAGTTAAAGCTTCGAAACATCTAAGAAAAAAATTTTATGTAAGCTTGTGTAGCACTAGAAAACAAACTGTCATATAAACTTAAGTTAAACTACAGCTGAAACTTAGTTATAATATGACAGTTAATGTGTCAAAATATCTATCTATAAGTGAAGCTTGTTAGAGATTGTATAACAGATGGAACATGGCTATATATCATTGTATAACAGACTAGCCATAACTCTGAGAACAGTTGAAGCACATTCTTTCATTTTGTATAACAGTTAAAGTACTTCTGCTTGTAAAATATTGTATAACAGATTGACCATGATTTAGACTGTACTACAGGTGGGCCAGTTAATATATTCTTAGACTTTGTAGAACAGCTGTTATAAAATGTGTGCTACACATGATTCATATTTTATTTCCATTATTTTTTCAATTAAAAAACATAGAACTGTATTTGCTATTTACAAACGTTAAGAGCACTTAGCATAAAACTAGCTGTAAGCATTGGACATGCATGTTAACTTAAGCTGCCGTTAAATGTTAAGCGACTGTAAAGCTGAGACAGCAGACTTTACGGTGCAAGCAAAACCTATACTTTGAAATACAAACATAAATACATATAGATAACTAACTCGCATATGTATATGTATGTATGTATATATCTGACTCGACTTGCAATTTATAATTTTAGAGAAGAAAATCAACAGCTGCAACAAAAAAGTTACACGAACTGAAATGAATGCCAATTATAAAGCTTAAGGTAAAGCTGATATATGAATATATATATGCATACGTGATATATATCATACAAATGAGAACTGATATATATACATATGCACGTATATATATATATATATTGAGTACGTTCCGCTTTGTATACAAATTTATGTCTGTACATAATTCTTTCAACTAAAAAAAAAAAAATGTAAAAAAGGATAAGATATATATATATATAAATCAATATATATATATAGTAGTTATTTACAATACAATTGCACTATGATTAGCCAGTTTTAGCTTTTTGCGACTATTTGGAACTGTGTCGTCCCGCCCGTTCCATTGTGGGATCGGCCAGCTCCCAGGCGGGCCGATAGCAGGGCGTGGCAGCCTCTGCTCCGGCCGCCGCTGCAGCCGTCGCACACTCGGCGCAGAGCAAATGCGGATTGGGAAAGGTGTTGGACTTGTAGCCAATCGACGTGTAGCCCCGCGCATAGAGACTGCAGTAGGGCACCTTGTACATGTGGATGTAGTGCCAGATGTCGTGGTAGCTCCATTCCAGCAGCGGATTCAGTCGCATCATGTCCGGCCAGTCGCTGTCCGTTTTCTGCAACAAATCGAGTTGCAATTAGAATGACGAATGGAAAGGGAATGGAGATGGGACCACTCCTGGCGGCAGGCGGAGCTTTACCTGCATCGCTTTCAGCTTGTCGCAATAGGGATCCGTATTGCGGCTGCCCACAAAGACGGCCTTGATGAGCGGCATGTCGTGGGTCATCTGGGTGAGCGCCACCTTCAGCGAGTCCTTGTACTTGATGAGCTTCACCTTGTAGCGCCTCACGCAGTGCTGGACAAAGTCATCGATCTCCTCGAACGAATCGTCCGACTCAATATAGAGCATCGGTATCTGGCCGCTGTCGATGTTCCGCTGGGCGCAGTAGCCCATCAGCAGATCGAGCAGCACTGTGCAGTCCTTGCCGCCATTGAAGCAGAATATCAACTGAGCGATCTTGTACTGCATCAGCGTCTGGTCGAAGAAGTCGTACGCCGTGCGGACGCGACGCTTGATGTGGTCCCGGGTGGCGTCTGTGATGGCTACGGGGCAGGTGGCATCGGCATCAGTGTGATTGTCGTCTCCATCATTGCTATGGCAATTGGACATAATGCTCTTGCCACCGATACCGTTGCTGTTACCGTTACTGTTGCTGTTACCGTTACAATTGCTGCGAATCTTCTTCTTCTTGCTGAATGCTGTGGACTTTGTTAGCGTGGTCTGCTGTGTCTGTGTCTGAATGCAGCATTTATGCATTTTGCTGTCGTATTATCAAGAATTAATAAGTTGCGCCTGCAGCTGCTTCACTCCTTCTCTCACTCTCTCTCTCTTTCTCTCTCACGCTCGTGTGGCAAGCTGTGGGCTCTGGCAACCTGAATAGAATGCACCGTTACATTGACAATTTCATACAACAATTAACTTTCTCCAAAAATCAATGTGACTCCATGTGTGTGTGTGTGTGTGTGTGTGTACGGCGTTGCTTTTATATAAGAATTATCAACATTTAACAATAGCTTTTTGTAGACTTTGCGTTATCTGCACAGCAAATTACATCACATGAACACGTTACACGCACACACGTGAGCCACACAAACATACACACACAGCCGCGTGCTGAGCTACCTACGTTAATTCAAATGAGGAATGTTAGTTAGGTCTGCACGTTACTAATATGCCATTAATGTTAACATTGCGCTTTTTTGTTTTAATCTCAAATAATTGCTGGGACAGTGCTGCCACAGCGCCAAGGAACAACATAGCAGCTGTTGCGCGGTCCGAACAGTCTGGCAGCGCTGCTGCGGTGTAGTGCTGTAAAATAAGACAAATAATTTTATTTGAATTTGCTTAGTTTATTTTTGTGAAATTTAATTTTGCAAACATATATGTATATATTTTCCTATTCATATTTACTTTTTGTGTGTTTATTTTATTTTTCTAGCAGTCTGGCAACGTACAGATGTGCGCCAAAAATTTAAATTTGATTTTGCTGTTTACTTGTTGCTTCACTTTTTGTTTGTGCTGCTGACCGTCTGGCAGCACTCAGCACCGCAGCGTAGTGCTGCAAAATGCGACTAAAATTTAAATTTGAATTTGTTTTGATCTTTGTGAAAAGCGTTTTATTTTGCATTACATGACATTTTCTTCTTATATTCTGTTTTACATTTAACAAATATGTGTGTATGTGAGTGTTTTTGTGTATGTGTAACTTTAACAAAAAAAAAAAAAAAACAATACAAATTCATTTAATTGCTATTATATTTAACAAATGGGCACTGTCGGTTGTTATATTTATTTTCTGTTTTTGTTTGTTTGTCTATTCTTTTTTTTTTTTTTTTTTGCTATACATCCAAATTATCCAGCACATTGTCAATGAGCCCTACGACCTTTTGCCTAAATCGACGATTCTGTTTGCCGCTCATTTCTTTCAGATATGGATGCAGGCTGATTAAAAACGAATAATCGGCGTCGGGCTGAGCGAGCGTCAGGCCAGGTGTTGGCGCTGCCGACGCCGGCGCTGACGCAGCAGCGGGCGCAGGTGTGCTTGCACCTGGTGGCGTTGCTGTCAGATTATTGCAATTGCTGCTGCTGTTGTTGTTGTTGTTGTTGCTGTTGGTGTTGCCGGTGTTGCTGTTGTAGTGCAACTGGTTGGCGCTGCCTTTGAGCCACTCGGCCATCGTCCAGTCCATGTTGTTGCGCAGCGCCGCCGCCATCGAAACGGGCAACGTGACGAGCGAATGCTGTGCACCCACAGCAGCAGCGACAATCTTATCTGTGCTCTGCGGCTGGTGCTGCTGGTGCTCCACTTTGATGGCCTGCAGTCGCAGGGGCGAGAGAGCTGCTGCTGCCTCCTGCGGGTGGTGGTCGTCCTGCTCGTCGTGTGACTCTGCCGCCTCCTCCTCCTCATCCTCGTGGCTGCCATTGCTGTCTTTGGTGTCCTCCTCCTGCTGATGATGGCGTTGCTGCTCCCGTTCCCGTTCTCGCTCCAGCTCCTGCAGCTCTTGTTGATGCAATTGATGCTGCTGCTGCTGCTGCTGTTGCTGTTGTTGCTGCTGGTGATGATGCTGCTCCAGGAGTCGCATGTGGCCGATGCGCGTCAGATATGTGGCCGCCGCTGCCGCCGTTGTCGCCGAGGTGCTCGGCTTGCGCAGCACCATGCCGCCGCTCGGGCTCGAGCTCGAGTTCGAATTCGCATTGAGATTCGAGCTGGGATTGGGATTGGGATTGGGCGGCTGGCCGAGTGGCAGCTGCTTGTGACAGGCGCGCGACTTTGTGTAGGGTATCAGAAACTGCAGATACTTGGACAGGTAGTACTTGCGCTTGCCGCGACCCGTCTGGGTGCGCGCCAGCTTCAGGGATCGCAGGAAGCTACTCCGAATGGTGCGCCAACGCTCACGCGAATTCCGAACTGAAATTGAGATGATTCGAAGAGAAATATTAAATTTGGATATTAGAGATTCGGCAGGGGGACTTGAGTGGGTACTGAATTTTGGAATAAAAAGAAGTTTAGGAGTAATGATTTTATATTAATATAATAACTAATATTGGAAATTCAATGAGGAGAGGAATTCTTGGGTTTTCGGAGTGACGGAAGAGATTCGGAATAAGATGTCAAGGAGTAGAAATGTAGGAAGTATTCGGAGTCAGAGGAAAGTAGAATGGAATATAAAGTCCTTGAGCAGAGTTCACTGTATTTCGAGCATTCGGAACAAAAGGTATGATTATTCGGAGTGTTCGGAACGAAAGGAAGGAATATTCCGAATACTCTACTATCTATTCATTTGCAGCACATCCTTCCCAATAAGGAATAATAATAATAGCAAATGCGTAAGGCAATTCAGATTCGATATACTCTATATACGCAAAGGCAACAGGCGATAACATATCTATCTGAAATGTTTAAGCTATAGCAAATATAATCAATAAACATAGCACTAAATAATCTGTATGAAGTAATTTGGCTGTGAATATGCGCTTAAAAAAATTGTGCTTCAGACAAATAGCTTCGCCATTAAAATTTACTTAGAATTCAATTACAGCAAAAATTTAATGTCAGACTTAACGTCAAGCGCCTCCTCTCATGCCAGCCCTAACCTAATTTTGTTGTCAAATCCTTTAGCAGAACAGAATTAATGCCAGTGCTGCATAACGTATGCATGCGCATGTGTGTATGTTTGTGTGTGTGTGTGTGTTTGTGTGTGCATCAACCGCTGAGCGGAACTTTTAAGTGGAACCAAATTCAACTTATGAAAATGAACATTTAATTGGCCAATCAAAAAAGCTCATAACCCAGTTCAGTTCAGCTCGAAGCGGCTCGACTTGGCTCAGTGTGCTGCTGCCAAGGAGAATGTGCAGTGCTGCACAATGCAAGAGGCGGTCGGCGATCTGTGGTCGGCAACAAGTGTTGGCAAATGCCGACAAGTAACTGAGAAACATGCATACATACAAACATGCGTATGTATGTAAATTCATGCAGGGTATTTCCACTGCGCTGCAGTTGCTGAACTTTTTTAATTTCATGCCAAAAGCAGCTGCAGCAGCAGCAGCAGCAATAGCAATAGCAAAAACAACAACAACAAAGCTAATTGCATGCAAACGCCGCGCGCAGCTATTGCTGTGTGTGACACAGTGACACACCTACACACACACACACACACACACATACACACGCATGCATGCTAAGAGGCATTTAAAGCATTAAGTGCAAGCGAGTTGGCACGACTACAAATTGCGATTGCATTGAACACACACACACACACACGCAGGCAAAAAGCTTGCATCATAGGCGCGCGCGCCAGCACACACACACACACACACGCGCGTACAGCAAATGAGCACGCAATTGCAAAAAAAAAGCAGAAATAAACGAATATGGAAATGGAAATCTACAAGTGCAATAGAAGAAATGAAAAGTTTTGCCTGCTGCACACACACACACGCACGTTGTCTGTCTATGTGTGTGTGTAATTATATGCACCTGTGTCCTTTATTTCATTGGCCACATGTTGCCAGGCCTTTTGCACCTCCTCCTTTTTGCTGTAGCCCGGATGTGTGTAGTTCCAGAGGCAAGGCTGATTCTCGACCAGCTGCACGAATTTCACATTGAAGACGGGATCATCCTTGCGAGCCATGCTCCTAGCGCTTTGCAACACTGACACACTGCACCGTTACAATGGCAGCCAAACACATTACAGTCAAAGGAAATGGCAGCAGCAAGGAATGAGAAAAAAAAGAACGAAAAACAAAAACAAACACTCGAATTTGCGCGCGCTCGCTGACTGCCTCTGTTTCGCTCACGCTCTCTCTCTTTCTACCTTTCCCTCGGTCTTGCTCCCGCTTAATAAGCAGCTGCGAATGCAACAAACGGTATCAAACTAATCTGTGCGTCTGTCAAATTTAGTTTTGCTTTTTAGCTGTGTGTTGGGGCAAACACAGCAACAACTTGTCGCAACGAAAGCGCCGAGAAAACTGAAAACTGAAACTGAGCGCAAAAAAAAGCTAACAAATAAAAGCTGCAACGTAAACAATGCCAAAACGGTTTTGCGGCAGCGGCTGCGGCTGCTGCTGCTGCTGCTGCTGCTAGAATCAACATCAAATGCAGCAAAAAACTGCAACAACAACAACAAGTAAAGGCAAAGCAGCTGCAGCGCTAATGATTAAAATAAGCTTGTGTTTGTGTGTGTGTCTGTGTGTGTGTTTGCTTGCAAAAGCTTTAGCTCTAACGATGACGTCGCTGGCGGCATTTGTTGCACACAAACACATGCACACACACACACTAACGGATATCTCTAAGTGCATTTACATATTTACAAAAGGCGCCAACAGCTAGATGTTGCGCTTTACAACACTAAAAGTGGGCTAGCAAGTGTGCCGGCTGCAGTTCCGCAACTAGTTCCAGTCAGAGCATATGTAATGCCATTTGCTTTTATAATTTATTGATATTATGCACAATGGTTAGCTTAACTAATTAGAGAATATTTTAATATATAGCAAATTGAATTGACCGCTTGGCGCATTGGCAAAAACTGCCACTTTTCAGCACTCAGCGTGCGCAGTGGCAACGCTGCTGATCACTGGTTCCGCCAGCTAGTTCCGCACAGCGCATATGTAACACAATTTGTGGCTGTTGTTTTCATTTTGTTTTTCTTCACTAAAATCAGCTAGAAATAATAATAAATGGCAGCCAACGCCAAAGCCATCGTTAACACGCCGCTGCTGCAGGGACTGAAACAGGTGAGTGACTCGCCCACCTGCCTGCCACCGTTGCTAATTGACCAATGTCAAATGCTCTCTTGCAGCTGGTGCGCTCGCTGCACACGGACTGCGCTCGCCTGTCCAGCTTTCGCTCGTCCAGGGAGGTGCAGCCACTCGAACAGTACCCCGAGGTGGAGGTGCTGCACAATCCGCCCGAATGGAAGTACGTGGAGCGCCTGCTGCCGCCTCGCACCGTGCCCCAGCCCGTCGCAAAGCCAGCCTATCCGTCTGGCTGGAAGCCACAGACGGCGACTGGCCAGGAGAGCGGCTACTTTGTGGCGCGCACCAAGAACCACATGGTGCCCGTCTATCTGAATACGCGCTTTCGCGGCCAGCGCCGCCTCACCATCGTGCGACTCATCCAGGGCGATATCTGGGCCCTTGAGCGGGATCTGCGCCAGGTCGTGGAACAGTCTAGAAACGGCAAGCTCTGCGCCACCCGGGTCAACGAGCTGAGCGGCCAAATTCACATCCATGGCGACTATGTGGATCTGCTGCGGGAGCATCTCAAGAGCAAGGGATTCTAATTTTGTTGCAATAAACAGTTAAATGTTAAGATTTTCCGTGTTTGTTCTGAATGTAATCAATCTAAAGCAAGATCTATTCAAAGGAATCCTAGTCCGAACCCAAAGACCAATAAGTACACTTCGATTTTCACCCATTTTTCACAACTTCAAGCGAGTTCTTTATGGATTCTCTGCTTCCGATAAACATATTATATTATAAACTAGTTTTATATTTAGAGTTTCATGTAAATTTCCACAACATTCAGTGAATTTGATTTCACTCCAGTGGATTTCTTATAGATCTATGTACATGTATGTGGGGAAATTGTTGCACAGGATCTCACGGTGTTTCCTTAACTAGACACAATACAACAAATTTGGCGGATTCGAACTTGCAACATTTTTCTATGAAGTGTTTCGATTTCCACTCATTATCCGCTCAAGTGCGTGATTTCTTAACTACATTATATCAATATCTAGCTTAGGCAAAATGTTTGCTTTGCTTTTATGGTAATGAGAAAAAAAATTGACTTTATTTAATGTACAGATCTGAGATATACATATATATATGTAAATGTGGAGATGTGATATCAGCACAGGAGAAGGAGCGCAGGCAACTATATATAGCTATATATACAATATGATATATGTACATATATATATATCATGTGTAATGCAAGATTTATACTAGAATTTGGACAATAGACTAAAGTATAGGATTGCATTTGCTTGAGGGTTGACATTTGTTGCTGTTTTTCCTTTTCCTTAAAGTTATATACTAAAAAAAAAACAATAAAAAAAAGAGTAGTGTCAAGCATAGAGGCTCACACGTGCGTGCATGATTATTACAAACATAATCATCGTGTAACAGATGTAACTAGTGGACATTCCGGTTAGTAGCCGATGCTACCTTTCGCTGCCGTCAGGTGAGCTTCTTGCTGCGCGCCTGGCCGTAGGCAGCCGAACGCCACCGTTATCCATTCGCACCGGCCATCGCCGTCGGCGTCAGCGGCATGCCGACCAGATTGGGCGTCGACGCCGCCGTCACATTGCCAGCGGCTGTGGATGAGCGCTTCAGTGCTTTACGTATTATCGTCCAGTCCTCCATAATGTCCTCCTCGCGCAGCATGTAGACCACATACGGTCCGGTGACCGTGACGGCCTTCTTGCGTCCTGGTCCGCGCACCTTGCTCTGGCGCTTATCGTTGCCCCAATCGTCCCAGGAGATGTCCACATTGTGGCGATCCTCTTCGAGGCGGCGTATGCGCTCCATTAGATCCTCGCGCAGACTATCTATGGCCATTTGTTTCTCGCTCTGCACGCAAGGAAAGCCGAATCTCTGTTTAGCAAATCAATTCGTTACGAGAAATTTCAGTTCACTCACCTCGTAGTGTTGGGTGGCTGCCTGCTCCTCGGACAGATATTTGTGCTCGATATTCTGCAGGCGAAACTTGCGCAGCACGTCGGCCACTTCGATGCGTGTTTGATAGACTTTGTCCAGTTCCTTCTGGGGCTGGACAAATTCCTCGGATCGACCGGAGCGCACATCCGCCAGCTGCCGCTCGATGTGATTGATGCGTTCGCAGTAATACTGTTCGCGCAGCTGACTAAACTGTCGGTCTAAGCTGGCTGTAAGACATATGTATAATACATATATTATATATCAGTTAGTAAGAACTTTATTAAATTGGCGCCAAATTGTACATACCCAAATCTTCGATGTGTTCTGCGCGTCGCAGTTCGATTTCGGTAGCATCCATTTCGGAGGAATCATCGGAATCGCACTCATTGGCCTCCTCCTCCTCCTCGTCGGAGGTGTCGTGCGCCTGGCTGGAGTTCGAGCGCTCCGACTCAGCGCCAGAGACGTCGCCCTCCGCATCGGATTCGCCATTTTTTACAGGCATTTGGGGGGGAGGGGCAGAGATAACTGCTATCCGAGCGCGCTATACGTTTGTTTTGTGTTTCTTGTGTGTAGGTATGTGTGTGTATAATAAACAAGCACTGCACTCACTGAAGCAACTCAACTAAATTGTATATTCTTCAAGAAATTATTTCATTCAACGAATTTTATAGAAATTTTTGTAGCTAGCGAACATTGTTTTGTACTGCAGCTGCAAAAAGTGTTGGCTGACGACACAAGGCCTGACAGTGTTGCACAGCGCAAGGCAATCGATTGCTTTCGATATATCGTTGTATATTCAAACTATTTATGCGCACTTATTAAATGTGTATATAATATTAATAAATTCACTAAAAATATTTGAATTTATGTGAGCACAATGTGATATTTCAATTATTTAGTGTAGAAAACTCCACAAAATATATACAAACGTCAATTGCCAAGTATTTACAAAATACGGTCACACGCAGGCGCCAGATCAACAGCTGACGTATGAGTGTGAGGCGAGAGAAAAAAATAGACGAATAAACGAACGAGAAAAACAAATATAGGCGCTGTCGATAAATACGTGTAATTTTTAAATAAGAAGCGTGTTCAAATTATTCCACATATTTTATATTAGCGAGCCATGGAAACGCCGACTGCTGACGATTTGCTACAGTTTCGCGACTACAGCGCAACTAACAGCGGCACACCAGCGCAAATCAATGTCAATTCGCCAACGCATGCAGCTGGAGGTGGCGCAGGTGGAGCGGGTGGTGCCGGAGGCGGCGCTGCCAATTATAACAATGGACAGCGTCAGCGTGGTGATCCATTGTCCGACTTGATATACGATATGAGCAATTCAGCACAAAATATTATTGGAGGTGGCGGTGGTGGAGGCGGCGCCGGCGGTGCTGGCAACGATGGAGGCTCAGCCGATGGTGGCGTTGCTGGAGCCGGTGGAAGTGCTCGTCTCTCATTTCTAACCATCGAGTACTATCAGCAATTCTTCAATGTCGATACTTACATGGTGCTAGAGCGCATTGCCAACTCCATGATACCCAAGCGCGCCTCGGCCAACTATTTGCGCATGAACATTGGCGAAAATCCAGATCTGTATGGTCCCTTCTGGATAACCATAACGCTGGTAGATGCACTTCACTCTCTAAATATAAATATCTATGTGTCATATATCGTCTCTCTCTCTCTCTCTTTCATTCAGATCTTCTCGATTGCCATCAGTGGCAATATAGCCAGCTACTTGCAGCAGGCCAACGATAGCTATCATTGGCATTACAATTTCCATTTGGTATCATATGCAGCCACCTGCATCTTCCTCTATGCCAACATCTTGCCGGCCATACTCTGGGCCCTCTTCAAGTACAGCCTCAAGCCTGTCGATGCATCCGATGCCGTGGAAACGGAAAGCGTTAGTCTACACTCTTCTCTATGTATAGCCATCTCTTAATCATTCTCTCTCTCTCTCTCTCTCTCTCTCTCTCTCTCTCTCTCTCTCTCTCTCTCTCTGTCTCCCTCTGTTATCACAGGCTAGCTATACACCGAGTCTTTTGTCGCTGATGTGCATCTATGGCTATAGTCTGGCCATTTATATACCCGTCTCCATACTCTGGGTGATCAATGTGAGTTCGATCCGAATTTACCCATAATCATTGCTCATAAAGTACAATTTCCTTTGCAGATTTCACTGCTACAGTGGCTGCTCGTTATCACGGCTGCCCTGCTCTCGGGCACCGTGCTGATTTCCGTGCTGACGCCAGCACTCCGCAATTCACAATATTCGCTATTCCTTATCATTGGCATACTCGGCGCTCACATCATTTTGGCCGCTGGCTTTCTGCTCTACTTCTTCCACAGTCCGCCGGAGTACGCCGCGCTGATGGCCAAAACCACGGCAGCGCCGCTCCTTAAGGCCGCCTTGCCGAAGCTCTCCACCCAGGCCGTCGCTGGTGACTTGCCGGCCAATCTAACGGGCTAAAAGACATCATTCCAAATACTAATCCAAACACTGTTTCTGTACATTAAGTTCTACACATGATTACTACACGTTTCCCTCTCCCTCTCTCTCCCTCTCTCTCCCTCTCTCTCTCTCTCTCTCTGTGTCCAACGCGAATCAATTTTTGGTAGTCGAATCCATAGATGAAGAGACTTACACTTCGGCGATATCGGATAATATTTGTATAGGAATACTATATGCAATAATGTCTATAGAAACTTTATTTGCTAAAAATGATAAATTTGCTATGTAATATTTAAATTAATAGAAATGTTTTTAAATTTAAATTTAATAGATTTTATAATTCAAAAATATCTTCTTTTTTGTATTCCTTCATGAGTATGTCTTAAATATTTAAACATATATATATTTTGTTCAAGAGCCTCTGTACCATGGTTAGCATATATATCATTTATGTATATATATCTATATTATTGTACTGGTAATACGTGTAAATCATGTCCTAATTATTATTTTTTCTTTCTGTATGTGTGTGCGTGTTTTTGTAATATTCTAAGAACTTATAGTTAAATATAATACGAAAACAAAATCTATGAGATGATCTATCTATCTGTTTCTTTATCTCTCTATCTCTATCTCTATCTCTATCTCTATCTCTATCTCTATCTCTATCTCTATCTCTATCTCTATCTCTATCTCTATCTCTATCTCTATCTCTATCTCTATCTGTATCTATCTCTATCTCTCTATCTCTATCTCTATCTCTATCTCTATCTCTATCTCTATCTCTATCTCTATCTCTATCTCTATCTCTATCTCTATCTCTATCTCTATCTCTATCTCTATCTCTATCTCTATCTCTATCTCTATCTCTATCTCTATCTCTATCTCTACCTCTATCCCTATCTCTATCTCTATAGGGTATTTATTAGTCGAGTCATTGTCTCTCAACTTCATTATGTATTCAGGCTGTTATATGTACTACATATGTGTGGGTCCTCACATCATCAAGCACATATGTGCGTGTACACATAGTTCATCAACGAACCAACTCTCGCACACTCACACACTTACATGAACACCCACACAAACTCACACAGAAAACATTTCTCAATTTCGAATGCAAATATTCCAGCATCCAACGCATCGTTGGATTCGTCGTTTTCATATGCTGTACGATACGCTGTAATTTCTGATAACTGACTTTATTTAGCTCTTGTATGCAAAAGTTGTGAATTATCCAATTTATCATCAGCAAACCTTACATTACATTAGAATCTAGCAAAGCCTTTTCACATATTTTAATAATGTGATCTAAATCTATACTACCAAATCGTATAGCTGCTATTGAAGTTATAGATTAAAAATTTAGTTCATCTATGAATACCTTTTGGTTTCTTCATATATATTTTCAAAACCTTTGCACAGTTAAATCTTATAAGGTGCTTCATTCGTATTAATAATTTCAATAAAATCTCATTACACCATATCATTGATAGTTTAAAAATTTAGTTCTTGTATGAACAACTTTTAGATTCTTTTAAAGAAGTATACAAAAATTGGCAAACTTAAATTATATAAGATTTATTATACCTATATAAAATATCAGCCAAATCGGTTAGAAGTATAGTATAGTTTCCATAGAACTGCTGAGTTATTAATTTAGTTCTTGTATGGAGAAGTATTACTCTTTAGATCAAAGTACTGAAAATAAGGGTATTCCATATTCGTTGCGCTATTGCTTGAATGTGGTTTGTTTTTTTGTCCTTTTATATTTTGATTATTTATTTTCAGTTGCCTTAGCGTCGACAACCCTGGCAGAGCGCAATGTGTGTGATAGAGAGAGAAAGGCAAAGAGAGAGAGAGAGAGAAAGAGAGGCAGCATCAATAGGTTTGTTCTTCGCTCTGCATTGCATTTGTCTCTCTCTTTCCCCCGCATTCACTCGCGGCGCGTGAGTGTGAGTGTGGGAGGGTGGGTGGGTGGTAGTTGCACTTGCTCGATTATATTCATGCATGAAAACGCTGCCCACTTGGCGAGTGGGTCTGGCGTGTGGCTATGGATTATGTGGCGTATACATAATGTGGGCAAAATCATCAGCTGCAGTCGACGATTTGTTTGCCAGCAAAATAGCGAATTGCGAGCTGTGAGCGGCGAATGCGTAATTGAAACAGCAAATTGGAAATCAAATTCATTTTTATTTTATTTATTTTTCTCGCTTTTTATTGCATTCAAATTGAGATTAATTTATCGATGAATTGCAAAACATAAATATTTACCATTGAAGTCGGATTTAAATCTCATCTGTATGAATTTTTGCCAATCATTGCATTTTCTATAGATGTGGAAGTATATATAAAGATATCTTATATATAGATGTAGATATATGTACATAAGTATATGTATATGGAAAATAAGCTGAAAAGTTAAGGTAGTTTGACAATCAATCACTCATACAATAGACCTGTAGATCAATCAATCACTCAGTAGCTTGAAATAGATAAGCCAAAACTAATGTTTCGTTAGTTCACTCAGTCAATCAATCAGTCTGTCAATGCCAGTTAGTCAGTAAGTTAGTCAAACAGTCAATCAATTGATAGCTCTCCGTCAATCAGTCTGCTAATGAGTCAATCATTCAGTCAAGCAGTGCAATAGTCAATCAACTAGTCAATCAGTTTAGGTAGTAAGGTCTGCCAAATAGCCTTCAGTCAGTCAATTAGTTAATCCACCAATCAAATACTTTCTGAGTCAATCATTCATTCAATGAATTATTAATTTAGTCAATCAATTATGGGTTAATCAATAAGTCAGTCAATCAATCATCATTCGGTTCAGTTGTGATATCATTATCAATCAACCAATAAGTCAATCCTTAATAAGTCAAGTCAATTAATCAGTCAATAATTCAGTCCGTCAATCAGTCAATCAACTATTCAGTTATGCGATCAGTTAAGCGATCAGTTCAAGCAGTCAATCAATCAATTTATGAGTCAAGTATTCAGTCAGACCATCAATCAGTTAATCAATCAACCTGTAAGTCAATCATGCATTCCGTCAATCAAACAGTAAATCAATTATTCTGTGAGTCCATCATTCATTCAGTGAATCGATAATTGATTAGATAATTAGTTAGTCAATCAGTCTTCAGTGAATCAATCAGCCAAGTAAACAGCCTATTAATCAGTCAATCATTCAATCAAACATTCAGTGAGTTTGGTTAATTAAGTCTATCAGCATTGAGAGGGGCAATACGATTCACTAGAGTCGCTAAATTGTCAATCA